GTGAATCAGGCGTTGGGGTTCGTGACAGACTGAAGTGTATAGCAAATTTAAGTGAAGCCTGAGGGTTAAACCATACAGTCAGACATATTTTACAACTCAGATTTCACAATCTTCTAAGACACCTAATTAGGTTTTGCTACAAAACATCTAAGCTTACATTCCATCATTTCATTCATTGTCTCAGTTATCTTGTGTCAACCATGATTGAACATAATTTGTTCTGTGTCATCATTAGTAATAGAAATATAATTGATTTTTAAAAACTATATTTTTGACTCTAACTCAGATAACTGTTAAGTGCTTTAAATCCCTGGTCTTATCCAAATTACCTAGTTTCATAATTAATCAAATATTAAAAGATCAATAATACTGATAATCATATTTATACGGAATATCACATCTTATTGATCATTCAGTAAATGTAACAACTTCCATCACGTTACACACACAATGACAATAAATGTCAAGTTTGCCGTGTTTATGTAAAATCAAACTGATCACAAAACATTGATTTGCTTTCTTTCTTTCGGTTTCCTCGTCCAACCCCTACAAATCCCTGTGTCCTCCCCCTACAGCACTCTCTAAATACAACAGACAATAACAACAACTCAAACAAAGTCTGGCGAGTTGTGTAAAAACTGCCATTTTTTAGCATATTTTTCGGTCTGTATTGCAGTAGCTCTTCTGTACTTTCCTTGTGTAAAAGTAGCTCACAGGCCAAAACAGTCAGGAGATCCCTGCTCTACAGGCTTATTTCTGACTAGGGTTGTCACGGTAACCGGTATAGCGGTAAAACCCGGTAAAAAAGTTGACAATAAAAATAACCGTCCAGTTTTTAAAAAACTAAATTATCTCGGTGGGTTTACCGTGGCCGCGGTTTATGCGCGGTGACCCTTACCAGCCACCGTCGCTTCTGCTGAAGTTCCCGCGGCGAGCACACGCACTTTTTAGTTTGCAACGTTACCAAAACTTTGAAGCTGAAATAATGGCCGAAGGAGGAGACGGCAGCGCCCAGGACATCCATCAGCCCTCAAAGAAGACTAAATCGGAAGTATGGGCATATTTTGGATTTCTGAAAAATGCTGAGGGACAGTTAATAGAAGACGGCTATCCCGTTTGCAGAACGTGCAGGAAACAAGTGTCTGCAAAAGGCAGCAACACTTCGAATCTAACGGCACATCTGCGTGACCATCACCCACGTCTCTACAGCCAGTGCAAGGTAAGTTAACATTAGCATTTTAGCTTAAATGCATGACGTGAGGACTTTTGGTTGAGGGAGAATGCAACGAGTCACTATATACTGCAGCCGCAGCGTCCTCTGCCAGCATTTAAACCGTGTCACGGACACCCTGTTGCTGGATGAAGCATCTTATTTGTTGATGATGAAGAGAAATATACAATTAGTTCCTTGTCATTGATTTGTTTACTTATTCAATGCCATTTATACTTGAACATTTGGATTTGATTACATAGTGTAGTAGTTATTTTAGTAATTTGTTTAAAGTGGCTATTTGTTTTAAATACATATTTTTTAAGGTTGACTTGTACAGCGCTCAAGTCAAGTGTGGACTGGAGTTTTAGATTTTCATTTTGATAATGAAGAAAACAAGTATATGAGAAAACAAGTGGTGTTTCTTTGATTTGTTTACATATTGTTTATGTTTTGAATGTTTGGATTTGTATAATTTAAACCTGCACTGACTACTGTAACATGTTCCAGAAAAATAAGCTATTTGTTCCTTTACTTGTGAAAAGTTGCACTTTTGCTAAGGCTTTGTGTTATTTTAGGTTTAATAAACACTGTTAAACCTTTTCAGAACTATTTCAGTTTGTGTAGAACAGGACTATCAATGCTTTCTGAACATATGCAACACCGTTTAAAAAATACCGCGATAATACCGAAAACCGTGATAATTTTGGTCACAATAACCGTGAGGTTAAATTTTCATACCGTGACAACCCTATTTCTGACTATCAGTCCAGCTGTTTGTGTGTTTCGCCAAACCCTCAAAGAGTAAAGCTTTGTTGAGGCAAATACTTTCTTGTGGTACTGTGGAGACCATGTCCCTGTGTTACAGTGTCAATGGCTCTCAGCTGCCCCACGGGGTCAGAGCGCACTCTACTAAAGGTGTGACCACCTCAAGGGCTCTGTTTATAGGGCCTTTCAGTTGGTGACAATTGCTCGGCTGCTAGCTGGCCTTCACCCCACACTATGTGAGGTTTTACCATCTGGATTTTCTGGCCCTTTTGATGGCTCATAAAGTTCTTTCTGCAGAATCTGAGTTGCCATCTTAGATTGCGTTTTCAGCCCAGGGTTGATAGCTGCTCATGGGGCGTTTTTATATGTCCCATAGTACCTTTGTTGTACTGAGTGAATGTTAGATTATGCATATAATCACTGTTCCCTGAAGGAGAGGAACGAGGTACAGGGCTGCCTCCTTTGCAGCCTAGCTCGGTAAAGAGCGGCTATCGAACTGAGAAACCCAGGTGACGTCACGCTCATTTGCCTTTACAAGCACAATTAGATGTGTCTTAAGCCAGGCCACATAAGGACGTGAAGTCCTGTAGTACCTTTGTTGTACCACGTTCCTCTCCTTCAGGAAACAGTGGTTATATGCATAACCTAATGTTTTTGTGTTTTCATTCATATTCTTTAAGAAATGTCTGAAAATAAAAACATATCCACCAGGGTGTGTAATCCAATTAGAAAAACTGTGTATTTACCAGCAGCCTGCCACAAAAACCAAACGTATTCCAATTACTTTGGTCCTGTAACTGAATGAAATGACTGTTTTCCAACAAAAGTCATTTTCCCCCTCTCCTCTGACACAGAACTAGTCTGCATGAGATATGGCCTCAAGGTCTCATGCATTTGCTTCTAAACTGCTTTCTTTCCAGCTCAAGAGAAGAATGAAGAATGGACTCTCTCCTTTTAATAAATCAAAGAACTCTATTTTAATGAAGCTAATCAAACAAAGTGTTAGTCAATAATAAGATGTGACCAATCTGTGAAATCAAAATATTAATTACTTTATTATAATCCTATAGAATATAATAAGTAATATGACTTTAAATGTTTCCACTAGGACTGATCTCACGTAGCGTTAAAAGACATGGCACATTGCCTTACTGATCCAATCAGAATCTGCCAGATCTGACGGAGGCGTGGTTTTGGTGGTGCTTGGTAAACCTGTCATCTATTCATTCGACCATAAACCAAAACATCCGAAGTATAAAACTATGACCACGTCATCTTGAACGCCAGTTCTAAGCGTTCTAGAGAAGTGTCGGAGTGGCCAAACCGTAACTTTCCTCTTCAGCCAAAAGAACCAACGACAAGCTGGATAAAATCTGTTGCTGTTCCAACTTCTGCAACGGTTCCTTTCAGAATAAAAGCTGAACCATCACGACCCAGTTTGGGTCTCTCTAGATGCCAACAAAACTGTCGTGACCTGGAAGTATCTCAAGACTGGTCTGGTCGGCGGCCGCGGCTGCTTCTACAGGCTTCGGCTCTACAAAGGTCAAGCTGGACCTCTACACCTCCTGATCTAGACGGGGACTTCCGCTAAGGGTACGTGGACTGGCAGAATGGTGTCGAATGTGTTTATAAATCTCCTAACCAAAACTTAGCGCGAAGACACCACCTTCACTTACCACCAGAACTAATCGCTTCTTCGGATTTGCTGGTTCTGAACAACATTCCACACTACACCATTCTCCGTCTCATTCACCTTAGTTACACATTGTTTAAGTTAGTCTAGTTTTAATTTGTTTAGTAAGAAATCTTTAAACTTTTAAAACCTGACTCTCTCTTCTGTTGTCTCTGAGTGAATACGAAGCTGTTAACTAATCCCTGCATTAAAAAGTTCCAATCTTCTGGTTAAACAGTACCCATACATCCATAAGGTAGATTTCATATTTTTTATGGAATCTTATGTCTTATGGCTTATTAAATAACATGTAAATTAACTCATTACAGTCCAATCTATCAAAGATATCAAAGAGAACAATCCAGTACATTAAATGATTTTTCTGTACCAACGAGGAGATTTTCATAGCTTCAAACATGACCTACAGCAATAGTATGCCAACTGTTTCAGGTATTTGCTGGATTCATTTTCTATTTATTAAAAGAAACATTCAAAAAATTTTTTGTCATTTTTTAGGTCCAAGACTTCTGTTTTATTGTCTACATTTCGTATTTTAAGCACCAAGAATTCCATAAATTGTTGATCACCAAGTGGATTGGGACAGCGTCTGCAACCATGTGGATGCTGAGCCAGAGGGTTTCCTGTTTTAGTCTGAAGATAATCTAGTTTATTTTATTAAGCAAATCTCCAAACATCATTTATGAAATGAAAGACCCCAGCTTGCAGGTGGGCAAACTATATGGGTGGCAACAGGGTTTGTCCATTGTTTCCATGATGGTCCCGCAGGCGTTTACCCACATAGATTTGAATGGGTCCTACATGGGTTTTCAGATGGACCCAGATGGTTTGACTCATATGGGCTTGTTAAAATCTATGTGGGCAAATACCTGTGGGGCCATCGTGGAAACTGTGTGCAAACCCTGTTGGCACCCACACGATTTGCCCATATTTATCCATATGGGACCTACTCAGAATGATGGCTGGAGCATCCATGAGTGTCTGATGGTCACAAATCATAGTTTTAGGAATTTACTCAAATTTTTATTGGGTTAAAAACCTTCTAAATAATAATTTTCTTAATGATATCAAATGTGTTTTAATAGCCAAGCACAGAATAACTGAGGTTTATTCTACCAGTTTATGTAATGAGTACGGTCCTATAGCCTAAAGCCTAACTCGCATTTAATTAAGCATCATTTATTGTTCTCATATCAACTTTCTTTATTTTCATGTTTTTTCGTCAGCGAAAGAAAAGTTCTTATTAAAATCAAACATGAAACTCAGATTTACTTGTTGAGCTTTATTTGGTCTTTTTTATTTCTCCTGTGTAGATGTCACATCTCTTCAGATGGAAAAGAATATGCCAAAGAAAACAAACGCTTTGTTCAAAATCTTCATTTATTTTCACATGATAATTATAAATTGCAGCTGTCAGTGTGGAGAAGAAAGAGGAGGCACTAGCTGGTATGACAGTTGTAGTGAGAGGCTTCTCTCAGTGAGATGGGGTGGTGCATGGGACCGCTCACCAAAGACAGAACTCCTCCATTAGACTAACCTATTACATGTGGTGAAAAGCACCCTCCTGCGCTATGCAGTAGCATAAAGCAGAAAAGCACTGAAAGTATTGTAGTGGTTGAAGTCATCGCAGAGGAAGCAGTTCTTGGCTAAGTTGACGGACACCTTGTCTCCAACCTTCAGGCTCAGGGCAATAGCTATAGTGGAGCTGTCTTCTTTGTCCCTGGTGTTGTAGTCTCTGGCCCCAGCCACCACTTGGCTGTTCACCTGAAGGGTGATGCAGACGGCTAGCAGGTACCCAGAAGCACCAGAGTCACTAAAGGTCGACACGGCTAGGCTGTAGACACCAGCGCAGGGAGCAGTGAAGATACCAGTGTCCACGTTGTAACTGTTACCATAGTTAATGAAAACCTGCTTGTAAACAATGACGCTGTCAACACTAAAGGGACCATTACACCTGAAATTGTTATTGGTGTAGAGAGCAGAGCTGAAGGCAACTCGGTTGGCTGGAAATGCAAGGGAGAGACAAGAAGTGAGACAGGTACTGATTGTCCCTCATGAACAGAATAAAAATCACCTGCTGCTTTAATGATTATGTTGCCCACCTTCAATAGACTGAAGACTTTGGTTAGTTTGTGATAAGTCCTGCTCCAGCCCAGTCAGGACTGCGTTGAAATACGCCTTTAGTTTGTTGGTGTCTTGCACCATCTTGCAGCATGCACAAGAAGGCTGGTCCACGTTGCAGCCTGGACATGACACAGGAGTCAGTGTGCAATCGAGGACTCATACATGCCGAGCGAGTGGTCAAAGGGCCTCACCTGTGTTGAGTACTACATCCTTAGCACCACTGTCCCAAGAATATTGGCCAGCAGCACAAGCTGCATACAGCAGACACAGCAGCAGAGCAGCTGAGGGTAAAACAAGAAAAAACGACACGTTAGACTTGTGGAAGCATTGTGATTGATCACTGATTTGTGTACAGATGTATTCAGACTCACCTCTCATGCTGATTTATATTGATGGCTTCAGAATGCTGGAGCTATGACAGATTCTACTAGTTAAGGCAGAGTCATGGATATATAGCACCCTGATTGCTCCTCCTATTGCTACCTCCTCCTCAGACGTGACTCGGCCTACTGTGCTGTTATTGTCTAACCATCCATCGTGCTGCATTTGGTTACTGCATCACTGGAGATGTTTTGTCTTCAGCTGGAGCTTTTCTCTCAGAAACCAAACAGAAAACATCCCACACCCTGAGGGTCTTTGTTGTCAATGCAGGCCAGGGATCATCTATCACCTGGTGAGACTCCAGTGTGATCTTATCAGGAAAAGGGGAATGAAGAACTCACAGTGCTTAGTTTTGTGCCGATTCTTTAACACATATGAAGCTACTAATGAGACATCCTCAAAGAGCCATGCAGTCCTGTAATCTCTATTAAAAGTGTGTAAATAAGTGTATAGATGTGTCCTGTGGGATTATTCTCTTAGTCTATTAGAGCAGTGTGTTAAACTCCAGCTGCCTTCATTTAAAACACTGAGGATTATCATTTTCTGGATGACAGAGAGTTTTCATCACATCTTCACTGCTTCTTATTCTAATGTGGTGTGATCATATTAACCAAAAAAAGAGTTTTAACTTTTTAGTGTCAAACATTTGGTCAAATTTTAGCCTCCAGGAATAACTGAGACATGCACTGAACTAAAAAACACCATACATAAAAATCCTAAAGATTAGCAATAAGTTATAAATGATCTCAAGATGATAGAAACATTTTAAATGACTGTCATTAAACCACCAAATGGTTCCCAAGCGTGGCCATGTCTGCAGCTCACCACTCCTCCAGGAGATGGGTCAAATGAACAAATTTCACACACACACACTAGTGTGTGTGACAACTGCCGGGACTTAAACTTTAGAAATATAACAATAATAACAACGAGAAAATTCCTGAAGAAATTTTAAAAAGGGACCTGCCCACTGACACAAGATAATGTTTATGCAAATGTAAAAAACATCAGCAGTTGAAACAACGTCAAACTGAGATGTTACGTCATGGCTGAAAAATATTTCCAAAATGAAATTTGAACCAACGTCTTTTCTGTCCGTGACATAAACGTCTTTCAGCGTGTCTCATTTGGAAATTTGATAATTAAATTTAGGCTTTTCATTAATTACCGTAAACATATATTGCTGTAAAAATATATCATTTCTTAAACAAACACAAATATTTCCGTATGCCATCTAAGTCGGAAACGTGTATGTTCCATTCGGGATTCAAACCCGGGTCCTCGGAGTGTAAAGGCAGTCTGAAACTGAGCTCAGCCAGGTGCATATACATAGTAATAGTTTTTGTTTTCTACCCTTTGAAGTTCAACAAACTGTGTTTTATTTACTTTTCAGGGGTCAGGTTGACCTTTTGACTTCAATACAAACAAAAGAAGATCTAGAGAAATGTTTAGACTTTCTCGCCAAGGCCACTAATGAAGAAATGACTGAATTTGGTGGTGAACAGTAAAAATCATATATTTGACTACTTTTCTCCAAAATGAATCCCTTATATTACAGAAAGCATTAGTATTTGTTGCAGATGATACAGGATCAAAAACTGTGGTTTGAATTGAAATCAATGGGACATTTTTGTCAATAGTCACAAGAGGATGGCAACTTTTAAATCTGTTGGGTAATGTGAATGGCTAACAAATTAATTCGTCCAAGACGATGTTGAACTCAGAGGGTGGGTTAGAGTAGCCAAATGGACACCGTGTGAAGGTGTATTGGCGGTTGGTGAGGGTGAAGGTTAATTTATATGAGTCAGACTCATGGACAGGGATTGTCCAGAATCCTGATGCAATGTAAAGGGTGGAAAAGTAATTAGCGTCTCTCACTTTCAGAAGTTCTTCTTCCAGGTGGACCATCGGCCACAGTGACAATGGAACTTGTTGGTTAAGTTTCCTGTAGTCAATGGTTAGTCACCACTTACCATTAGGTTTCCTCACTGGCCACAATGGAGCAGAGTAGATGCTGTTACAGGGTTGAATGATACCCTTTTCCAAGAGGCTGTCAATTATTTCCTGGACAGGTCCATAGGATGCTAGGGGAATCTCGTATTGAGGCACAAAGGTCAGCGACGCATGTGGTGGTGTAGGAATCCTTCCCCCCAGGTCGACAACAAGGACAAGGTGGTTGGGCGTTAATAGGGTTGGGCATCGTTTGATTCTGAACGATTCCGATTCCTCGTTTCGATTCCGGTTCCTATGGATTCCTGATTCCGATTCTTTCAAGACATTACATGTTTTACATGAGCTAGCTAACCACAGGTCCTACTTGATGAAATACCGCTTCAGAGTTACGGCCAGCTCTAGAGTGTGTAGTCGGCATTTTGACACTGGCTCGATCTTCTTGTCTTCCTCTGGAAAACGATGTCTTCAGCCAAAAGTTGTTCCATTGTTATTCCACTGTAATGACTTCACGAAAAAGTCAGAGTGACCAGGAGTTTGTGAGCGCCACCCTCTGCCTGTTGACACCGTGGCTATAGCAACCGAGGATGACAACACAGAGGATGGAAACACCTTCCTTTAACAGCACTGTCATTTGCTCCGTTTTCTGTGTTTCTTACTGACTGCAATAGATTTTTAAAGATGATAAATACTATTTTCTTGGAATTCAGAGATAAAACACAAATTTCAAATGATCAACTATATTTAACATACTCTGAATTTTATAACAGTAAACACAAACTCTGCAGATTTTAATACATAAAAAATGTGTTTGAAATCTTCACCAAACCAACTTGTACTTGTAACACAACTGGTAATTACAACACAACATGGAAAATAATTCAGACCATGTACGTTGATGACATTTAAGTCAGGAATGACAAGCTAACTGTTTATGACAAGGAATTTGTCCATGAACACATGAAAATAGAACATTCTATCTTACACTTTATTGTCTCCATCACACCCTCATCCTTCTGTATTCTTTGGATGAACACATCTTCTTGAGCAGAGAACACAAAATCACACCAACTCATCCCTGTAGTTAGCAGCTGGCCCTAATAGGCATGTGATGGTTTAAGCTGCGACGTCCCACTGATGACCTTGAGGTAAGGTGCAGCTACATAATTTTTAATGTTTGGACATTTTATTTTCAATAGGCCAAACTGAGGTTGCTCCAAGGGGTAAAAAAATTATGCCATCTGCTGATGCACCAATCCATGGTGCACCACAAATCCACATTTGTAGTGGTTCACTCGTTTTATCTGGCAGTATTCCCAGGAAGCATCCGCCTCTAACTCTAAACCCCTCTTCATAGGGCCTGTCTGGCGAGTACCTTTCAAGATGCGTTCAGCCAGCAGCTCTTCAGAGAGCTCACCCACATGACAGATCTCTCTAAATAGAGATGCAGTCACTCGTGGTCTCCGTACATTGTGCCAATCGGCACACACACTCTGCTCTCGCGTAGCACATTCTATGCTCCAGTACAGTTCGAGGGTTATCTCAAGACTTTTCATGTGCAGCTGTTGCTTCCTGGAACAGACAAACATGCATTCTGATGGTTTCAGTCAGTAGTCTTGCAGAGGCAGTGGTGGAGGAGGTGGAGCATTATGGAGGGTCTGCACTTTCTCTTTGGGTGGTTGCTGATAAGAAAGTGGACTTCCTTGTTGCACCTTGCCGAGCAGTGAGTCCACCAGCGGGAAATCTTTGCCTATTCCCATGCTGCAGATCATAGGCCGGTCAGCATCGGAGAAAGGTTGGTAGACTTCAGAAACCCGCAGAACCGAGAGGTCAGGAAAGTCCCCGTGAAGGCCTTTGTACAGTTTGCTCCTGAATGTTAAGAACACACATAAAGAACATTTTTTATCAATTTATAAATGTTGAAACCGATCATTTTCATTGCTTGGTAGGCCCTATAACTCACTATATTACCACTGATGGCGTGTTTGAATCTGAAGCTCCTGTGCATGTGTCAAAATACTAATGCAGTGCTTTAGAAGCGCTGTGATGATGCTTGATTTGTGTCGCAGAGGCACGTGATCAAGGACAACCAAAGCTCAGTTTGGTACGTCACCGCTTTGCTACTTGATTCAAAGGTTTAAAGACTTGAATGTCTGGCTGACTTTTTTTTTTTTTTTCAATTAAAAGGGGCACTTAATGTGTCCACTTCAGTAATACAGCTGGAACATGAAATGCCACAACAATGTGGCCTTAAGCATAAAGAAATGAGAGAAAACCTCTCACGGTAGGCTAGTCATGATGTGATATGATCTGAAACCCCATCAGTAGCCAGCACTTACCGCACTCCCTCTGTGGTCTTTCTTGTTTTGGGTTTGGCTGAGAGGACAACCATCTTCTCATGATCAAAATAAATATAATATATTAAGTTACATTAAAAATATTGTGATGATTGGACTCACCATAACTCTCAGCTTATGTCACTGTTGCTCACCTTCACTGCAGCTTAACAGTGGGGGAACAACTTGGACTTTCAACTGCGAATAGTGTGCAGATTGAAAGAGAAGAGCAACACGGTGGTTGCATGAAGCTTTTCCAGCCTTACACGTGCAGGTGAAGTCCAGCAGTTGCACAGTCTGTGAATCTTTCAGTACCATCTACAAAGTACAATATTTCAATGCATTTAATATAATTATTGAATATCCCTATAAATATTACCAATTTCTAAAGATAGCATGTTTGTCAAATGCACTAATTTCTGAGCATGTCCCTGATATGACAGCCTGACATGATCCTAGCAACATCCTATCATTTGTCTCCAACCTATTACATTATATACACTGAACACAACAATTTCACACGGCCTCTTTTTAAGATCATACGCTGAGTTTGTGAGCTTTTTCTGTCTTCTTCATGGACCTGAAGCATTCTGCGCTGACCACCACCTCTCCAGTGCCTTGATCGTTGTCAGACACTGCAGAAAAACGACAATTTTAGTAAAGTTAGCAATAGAATAGCGTTAGTTGGTAAGTTATAGGTGCAGGAACTGTAATACAAAGATAATATATACAGACACTTGAAGCAGATTTTTTTCATGGGAAAAAAATCTAATGATCAATTTTTACGTTTGAAGAGTGATCGATTTGTTGTTTACA